TAATCTTATAAATATGTTATAGGATTAAATGGATCATCAAGATGAGAAAATGGTTCATATGATCATTGATCATATAATTTGATTTTATGACGTTTATCAATATTTTATTTTCATTTTAAAATATTTTAGAGTATTTTAAATGTTAAATATTTTGTGTTTAATTATCTACATTTTTTATGAATACTTTTTATAAAAAAATTATTTAGCATGATTGTTATAATATTTTAAGGGTAAAAAGGTAAATTAGTTTTAAAACCCCTCCCCTCCCCCTGGGAACCAAACATATATTTGAATAAAACTTCTCTCTCCCCTCCCCTCCCCCTCTTATGAACCAAACCTACATTTAATTAAAATACATTCCCTCACCTCCCCTCCCCTCCGTTGAACCAAACGGACCCTTAATGAGTACGAAAGTATTGATTTTTCTTTCAATAACTTCAATATTACACTAAAAAGAAACCACAACAATATTATTGCATAAGTCAAAAATTACAATTATTTAATATGGAACTTAGTACTTTTTCTTAAATGAATGACATATTTTTTGAAATTTCTCATCATTTTACTACTCTTTTTAGCATTGATTTCAAATTCTAATGCATGATTTCACCACTTTATAAGGTAAGGTTATCTACTATATTTCTCTCACAATCTCATCTCAATACATACAATCATAGCTATCTAACATGAAAAATTTAATGAAACTCTTTGCAATAATTCATTTTGTGATTATGAGTGTGCGTGATGTGTCTTTGGCAAGAACAGAGAATTATGAGAATAAGAAGATCACTTACATTGTTCATGTTTCCAAATCCACAATGCTAACAAGCTTCAACCACCATTCGATCTGGTACAAATCAATTCTGAAGTCGGTATCCGAGTCAGCTGAAGTGCTTTACACCTATAATAAAGCAATAAATGGATTCTCAACAAGTTTGACAATTGAAGAACATCAGTTACTAAAGAGCCAACCGGGGATTCTAAAGGTGACACCAGATAAAAAGTACAAACTCCACACAACACGAACGCTATAGTTTCTCGGGCTTGATAAAATTGCTAGTTTGTTCCCCGGGACAAACAAATGTGGTGATGTAATTGTGGGGCTCCTAGACACGGGTGTATGGCCTGAAAGCAAGAGCTTCGATGATACTGGATAAAGGCCAATCCCGCGCGATTGGAAAGGAAAATGTGAAACAGTTACAAATTTTACAACATCTAAATGTAATAAGAAATTGATTGGTGTCAGATTCTTTGCAAAGGGTTTCGAGGCATCTGTAGGTCCAATTAATGAAACCATCATGTCTAGATCGCCTCGAGACGATGTAGGCCATGAAACTCACACCGCGAGCACAACTGCAGGATTTACGGTGGAAAACACTGGTCTTTTTGGCTATGTCGATGGGACTGCACCCCGTAGTTGTCGTTGTTGTTCTCTTGCCTTTAAATGACAGTCAACTTCAATGTGACCATAATGATTGTAATAGTTACAACGAATACCATTACGTTGTCCACCCCGTCCTACGATTCGTCCACCACGACTATGATAATGGAAAGAAAAAGTAGATGATTATGTAGGAGATGGAGTGGAGACCAGTCCAAAGGCGTGAGGTGTAGCCAAACGTAGTAGTTATTCACTAACTGCTTCATAGTTAAGAACATTGGATCCTGATAAAATCTAGTTCCGAACGAAATCAAGCTCTGATGGTAGTCCGACAAGTGCCACGATCATGAAATACTTACTTTGTTGTTCAACATAAGTTGCTAGATATTTGGTAAAGGGAATTAGGATTGTGGAATTTTCCTTTAACGCATCAAGCTTAGTCAGATAAGCTTGCATATCCATATTCTTCAATTTCAAAGAGTTGAGTTTGGTGATGACACTCTAAAGATTATGGAAATCATTGGAGAACACTTTCTTAGCCTTTTCCTAAACCTCATAGCAAGTGGTAAAGGCTTGGTATTGTGCTTGGAGATTAGTTGCTATGAAAAACCATAACATAGTGCATAGAGAAGCATCTATTTGTTTCCACTTATCACGTTTGACAGCGGGAATATTTTTTGATTTTGCAGTTAAATGATCTTCACGTCCTTGACTATGAAACCACATTTTGACAACACCTGCCCATATATTATAGTTCACTATTCCAGTGAGTTTCTCACACAGGATAAACAGAACCTTCGTAAAAGTGGCGGAATCAGTATCTCCCATGATTTTTGGTTGCTTGGATGGAAAAACTAAGAGCAGATCTGGAAAGAACACAAGAAGACGGTGTTGGAGACGGAAATGGCGGATACAAAGGCGGTGGGACGCGCTGTCATGCGCGGAGGGAAGGTCAGTGCGTGAAATCCATGCGCAAGCGGCGGCAGGGCGCGTCGTAAGGCGGATCGTGGCGGAGATTTTGGGTTTCCGGCTGATCGGAAGGAGACGATGCCAGCGGCATGGTTACTTCACCAGAAAATTCATCGAGAGCGGTGGTGCGCTCTTGCACTACTGTGATTGGCCGAATATTTTGCGGAAACAAAAAAAAATATTCTGGAAGACAATGGGTCAATCAGCTCTAGATACCATGTTGTGATTGTATTTTTATGTGTCGAATATGTTCACGCTGCTGTATATTTATATGCAAAATAGGTATACACACTAGGTAATAATATGATTTACACTTATGACAAATTGAATGCAAATCAATACTAATTGATGTGTAACCGATTCTTAACACATGCCAATGTTCAAAATGGAATGATGTATAATACAAAATTCAAAGTATTTGTTCGAGGAAGAGTAATGTATACATCACGAAGTTTTTTAATCTCAATGAGAGGCAACACAATAGCCTTTGAAAGTAACTTTTGAACAGGAGTTTGTTGAGAATTTTCAGAGTTTTGTGAGTAGAGTTGAGAATGAGAGCTTAGTTGACTAGAAACTTAACTAAAGAGTCTTTAGGGATGCTGCATGAAAATTTGACACAAAAACGTTAATCTACTGTAAAAAGAAGTTGTATGTAGGAATGACAATACATATCTCATTTATGGTACCTGTCAATAAACTGTTCGATTGAAGGCAAATCAGCGTTGATATACAACTTGGTTACGTTGTATGTGTCTGTAACTAAAAGTGGCTATGTTCTTACGTTATAAAAGAAATAGGTCAGTTTGGATATATATTAGTTTGACACCAATTGTGGATAAACATTAATAACAACATTAATCGGCTAACCCTCTTCCTTGACTTTTGTGTACTGAAGCAAAACGGCAGTTGGACCAGACGTATTGACTCGATCTTGGTTGAACTTTATGAATTGGGAGGCTTACGCCTCCCAAAGAGTATATTTGATGGTGTTGATGCTACAAAAAGTGTAAGAATGTATATTATGTAGTTACAAAATAGGAAGTAAAAATGGTGGCAGATGAGTGTGTTATTGGGAGTCAATATACAAACCTGTGGTCCCTTAGTATAAAATTTACTTGTTGTTTTTTCCCTCCTGATTGTGTCTGTACAAAACCAATACTATCTACCGTTCCTATAACGTCTGAAGAAAAAAAGGTATTTAAAAGTATAACATAACAAACATAAATGAGAAATAAAAAGATCCAAGGATAGGCAAAAAAAACAACATAAGTCACCCATGGTACATCTTTCTGAAATCGGTCGGCAATGATATCAGCAAAACTGGTAAAGTTATGTGTTTTAGGCGGTTTTCCATGATTATTAACATCATTAACGGATGTCCCTCTTGTAAAATCCACTATATATTTGTGCCTCGAAGGTTTAAAGACCAAATCATTTACCTGAATGTTAAAGTTCGAATCAATGTAAGTGTAGTCCACAATTAACTTGTCCTCGAATGCGGCAATATATGTTGCTGGTACAACAACGCGTATATCATCCCCCTAAGAAAGAAAGAAAAGAAAAATGCGAATGAAATACCATATTGCATACATCAAACAGTGTTATAACGAAAAACGTATCTTGCAATACACCAAATCGTAAACCAGATGAAGTAAAAGAAGAGCGTCAAGAATGATCAAAAGAGAAATAAAAGGCATGTAAAAGTTATGTTGTTATTAAGTTAAAGATCAGATTACGTCGAAGACCAAAAAAAACTTTGGATATAAAAAATTTAGGAAAAATTTGAGCATACCAAGTAAGAAAATTTACATCTTTGTCTATGAAGAATATTTCAAAGTGTTCCTTATTATTGGAAAGAACCAGCCATTTATGGTGCACCCGTACTGTGACCTTCCAGAGCTTGGTGTCGTTGAGGTTGCAAATCTTCTCCAACGGTCTAACCATTTAGAAACGACGGAGACAATTTCAATTGAAGGGATGAAAAATCAAAAGAAGAAAGTGCTATGGCAGAAGAACAATGTGTTATGAGGCAAAACAAAAACATGTTATGGGAGAAAAAAAATGAAAAATTTTAAATAAACAAATAATGAGATATTAGTGTTGAGTAGATATAATTAATTTCAAAGCATAAGTGCATTAAATAAGATGCAGTGTGATGGAAGAAAGTAAAAGATAAAATTTGAAAAAACAAAAATCTGATTTGAAGATTTTCCTAAAATAGAGGCACGCTTGACATAAAAAAAAAACGAAGGGAAGATGATCCAATCATCCACATAGAAGCACGAAAAAGCATGCGGGCAATATTGAAATTTCCAAAACAATTTATCTTCTTATATAATAGATACTAACTATTTTTCTTAATGAGTAAGAAAGTATTTATTTATTTTCAATAACTTCAATATTACAGTCAAAAGAAATTACTAATATTATTGCATAAGTCAATAATTACAATTATTTAATATGGAACTTAATACTTTTTCTTAAATGAATGACATATTTTTTAAAATTTCTCCTCATTCTACTGCTCTTTTTAGCATTGATTTCAAATTCCAATGCATGATCTCACCACTTTATAAGGTAAGGTTCTCTACTACATTTCTCATTTTCTCTCACAATCTCATCTCAATACATACAAACAAAGCTATCTAACATGGAAAATTTTATGAAACTCTTTGCTGTACTTCTTTTTGTGATTCTGAGTGTGCGTGATGTGTCTTTGGCAAGAACAGAGAATAGTGAGAATAAGAAGATTACCTACATTGTTCATGTTGCCAAATCCACAATGCCAACAAGCTTCAACCACCATTCAATATGGTACAAATCAATTGTGAAGTCGGTATCCGAGTCAGCTGAAGTGCTCTACGCCTATGATAAGGCAATAAATGGATTCTCAACAAGTTTGACAGTTGAAGAACATCAGTTACTAAAGAGCCAACCAGGGATTCTAAAGGTGACACCAGATAAAAAGTACAAACTCCACACAACTCGAACGCCGGAGTTTCTCGGGCTTGATAAAATTGCTAGTTTGTTCCCCGGGACAAACAAAAGTAGTGATGTAATTGTGGGACTCCTAGACACAGGTGTATGGCCTGAAAGCAAGAGCTTCGATGATACTGGATACGGGCCAATCCCGCGCGATTGGAGAGGAAAATGTGAAACAGGTACAAATTTTACAACATCTAATTGTAATAAGAAATTGATTGGTGCCAGATTCTTTGCAAAGGGTTTCGAGGCATCTGTGGGTCCAATGAATGAAACCATCCTGTCTAGATCGCCTCGAGACGATGCAGGCCATGGAACTCACACCGCGAGCACAGCTGCAGGATCTGCGGTGGAAAACGCTGGTCTTTTTGGCTATGCCAATGGGACTGCACGCGGGATGGCAATTGGCGCCAGAGTTGCTATCTATAAGGTTTGTTGGAAAGATTTATGTACTGGTTCGGATATATTGGCTGCAATAGATCAGGCCATTGCTGACAATGTCAATATTCTTTCATTGTCGCTTGGAGGTCCATCACGTGATTACTTTAAGGATAACATTGCAATCGGAGCCTTTGCAGCAACGGAACATGGCATTCTAGTCTCATGCTCAGCAGGAAATTCTGGTCCTACTCCTTCAAGTGTCACTAATGTAGCACCCTGGATTACCAATGTGGGAGCTGGAACACTCGATCGAGATTTCCCTGCACACGTCAGTCTCGGAAATGGTAAAAATTATTCAGGTGTGTCCCTTTATAAAGGCAATAATTTGCCGGATACTCCCATGCCGTTCATATATGCAGGAAATGCATCCAACCAAGAAGACGAAAAAGGTGCTGGGAGATGTCTTCCAGATAGCTTGGCTCCGGAAAAAGTAGAAGGAAAGATTGTGTTGTGTGATTCTGGATATTTATCTAGAGTAGCCAAAGGAAATACAGTGAAATCTGCTGGTGGTTTGGGCATGGTGTTAGCCAACACTGAGACGGACGGAGAAATACCTCGAGCAGATGCCCATATTTTGCCAGCAACTGCCGTTGGCTTCACGGATGGCGAAGCTATCAAGAAATTCTTATTTTCTGATCCAAATCCTACAAGTACAATTGTGTTTGAAGGAACAAAGCTTGAGGTTAAGCCGTCTCCGGTTGTTGCATATTTCAGTTCACGAGGCCCGAATTATATAACCCCACAAATATTGAAGCCTGATTTTATTGCTCCTGGTGTAAACGTCCTAGCAGCTTATTCAAAAAATGCGAGTCCCACAAGCTGGGAATCTGATCCTAGACGCGTAGATTTCAACATTCTATCAGGCACATCCATGTCATGCCCACATGTAAGTGGACTAGCAGCTCTAATCAAGTCCATTCATCCAGATTGGAGCCCGGCCGTCATTCGATCCGCGTTGATGACAACCGCTTACACAACTTACAAAAACAATCAAACATTATTGGACAGTGCAACCAACAAGCCAGCAACTCCATTTGAGTTTGGTGCTGGACATGTCGACCCTGTTTCCGCTCTAAATCCCGGACTTGTCTATGATTTAACTTCCGATGACTATTTGAGCTTCCTCTGTGCATTGAACTACTCATCTGTTAATATCGAAATTGTGGCGAGGAGAAACTACACATGCGATCCCAAGAAACAATACAGCGTAACAAACCTTAATTATCCTTCATTCGCCGTGGTCTTTGAGGGTGGGGATAATGTGATTAAACACAGTCGGACTCTTACAAATGTGGGTGAGGCAGGAACATACAAGGTATCTGTTAAATCAGATGTTCCATTCGTCAAAATCTCGGTTGAACCAGAAGTGTTAAGTTTTAAGAAAAATGAGAAAAAATCGTACATAGTTACATTTACTACATCACCTTCCAAACAAAATATTACTCAAACTTTTGGAAGTTTGGTATGGACTGATGGAAAAACCGGTGTTAGAAGTCCTATAGCGTTTAGTTGGAAATTACATTGAAAGCTTGATGTTTTAACTTATGATTTTATAATAATATAAAAGCATTATGTTTTTATACATTTGAAATTTATTACTTTTGTTTTATCAGGTATAAATATACACTTTAGTTTTTCTTGTTTGTTATTTTCTTAACCAATCCAATTATATTATTTGTTAGCATCTAAAACATTTTAACCTTTAAGGTACAATAGTAATTCACTTCGCCCTTTTAACTTTTTAAAATCTCCCATACTTTCAATTTTTTAGAAAAAAATTACAATTACAATTTCTTAATTAAAAAAACATTTTTACTTAAAATTTATTAATTAAATCAATAAATTTAACAAACAAACAAATTCCAAATTTCTTAACTTAAAACCTTAATCTCAAATTCTACAAATCCTTAAAAGCTATCAAATTTCTTACTTTTTAATTTTATTTTATATTTAAAATCAATAATCAAACAAAAAAGTTGATTTAATAGGATGCGGGTGTAGAAAAAATTCAAATTTAATTACGGAAACGCAAACGAAAGATACTAATATCCGTCCACGCCAAGGACGGAGCTACATTGCCAATACTACTGTAGGCATGTGCCCCCATTTAATTTTCATTACCAACACTATGCCTTTCAAATATCATATATGAATATAATAATGCAAAGCTATAATATATATGCAACCGTATATATATCTCCAACTTTTTTTTAAATATTTTTATTCATTTAATTTTTAGAGAAAAAAACATAATATATACTTTTTTATTTTATATTTCTTTTTCTAGTTTATTTTTTTAAAACATATATGTACAACTTTTTCATCTAAATTTTGCATATTTATTTATTATTTTTAAATTTAAAGTATAATATTTTAATTAATAAAATATTTATTTTATTTACTTAAATTGAAAATTAAAAAAATTAAAAAAATTAAAACAAAATAATAAATTTATGTAAATTATTGCCCTTACTATATAAATTTTCTAGCTCCGTCCCTGGTCCATCCCCACCCCCGCACTGTTCCAACCTATTAATATTTTTTTTACTCTTATTTTTAATAATTTTATCTCATTTATCCTTCTTAAGGTATGGTAAAAATATATTTTTATAAGCAAACAATATATTCCAACAGAGGTACTAGAGGTACCTCAACCTATTTACAAATAACTCCCAACAAAATTTACAGCAAAAACAAAATATTAAAGGCAAAGCCAATACTTTCTGCACTAATCATAGTAGCTGCACGAACTATTAAGCTTAACGCTTTTGATAATCCACCACCAATATAAAAGTATAATTCTCTGTAACACACTGTTTCCCATGAAAATTGGAAAACAATCGCTGATCTTTCAAATCTAACTTTGGTGACTCACAGGATCGATCAAATTGATCCTAGGACATGTGCTAAATTTTACTTTAAAAAACACTAAAAAACTAAACACTTCGACAATGTTTATGAGGAAAAGGTTAATGTAAGTGTAAGGTTCGACATAAAAGAAAGGATATGGAATTGAAAGAAACAAAGTAAAGGGCTTTCAAAAACACTTAAATGAAATAAAGCATAATGCCAGAAAACGTAAATTGTAAGGAAGTGAAAGATAAACTCTTTTAAGATAAAGCAAAAGTAAGTTTCATTAAAACGTAGAATGGTGTTTTTACATTACGTACATTCTCCCAGAACTCTTTTCTCTACACTCGGATACTTTGAGTAAATTTTGAAGTGACTTGTACAATAGTAAATTACAACACACTGAAATCTATTGTTAGAACCCCTATTTATAATAATACAAATAATTGTTTGTCGCGGTGAAATTTGGATACCAAACTATTAATTAGTTTGAATCTTTAATTCATTTTGCAACCGAACTTTGATTTGTCCAAAGGAAGGGATAAAGATCGAAATTCCCACAATGCAATGTAAATGTAAGGTTTAGAGAGTTTAGGTTCGGGGGTTGGTTAAACTTAGGGAAGGTACTAATGCCTTCTTAAGTTCACGCTCATATACTTGGAGAAGTGGAGGCTAAAGGTGGTTTTGTACTCTATTCCGGAAACAACTCGGTGCGACCAACCTTCCATGACCAACCCTCCTTGACGTCACACAAAAGTAAACTTGCGCTTAAGGTGTAGAAAGATGGTCTAGCAAGCTCTCGATTTGGTTTTGTATTCAGAAAATCCCTTGTATGTAACAGTAGGGGGGATCCTTGTTGTGAACACATGCTTATGATGATTTACCGAACATTAGACGCGTTGCCGGCGAGGACAATCCCATTTCTTGTTCCCTTAATGTCCTTAGCAGTATAACAGGGCCTGAGTGTGATGGTTGTCTTTAATATTTTCCCAGAACTTGTATAAACATATGTAAATAACTTTGGTGCCTTAAAATAGGGTACTCTGATTGTTGGCATCATGTAATGTGTTCATGTATTTAAATGAAAAAACGAGACTTGAATAGCTTGTAATAAACCATACGAAAGTACCCAGCTTGGAACCAGCTTGTCCAATTAGTAGTCAAAGAGTCTTTCTGATATTCTAATCCATGTAGCCTGTATCTTTTTACTTTCAAGATATGCAACAACTGCATCTATATGAATTTACTCGTGAGCTTGAATATGACGAATGAGATCAAACTCTTAACATGTCAATGTAGGAAACCAAATAAATTAATCTCGAGTTCAAGACCAGCTGGTGAACTTTGTTATGGGTCTTGATAAAACTTGGCTCGTGCATTTTGGAATCAAAATTTGATAGGAACCAAATGCAGATTTCCTTGAACTTTTGTATTTTGTGAGCTTATATTTCAATGATAAACCTCTAAATAAACAAGTCATTTAGAGCTTCGAAGTTTTATCAAGATACTAACTTTGAAATTCCTTGCACTATAGATCACGTGGAAATACTCCGTAACTAGGCCTCTTGAGCAATGAAGATGTCATAGTGAGATCCTCGTATCTTGAAAGGAAACTAAAATAGCCTGAAAGTTGATAATTCCCTTGAATCTCTGCAACAACCTTCTTCATAAAACAAAACGAACAAGCGGGTTAAACGGTTAGATATGTACAATGATCGACTATGAGGAACGCCATCTCCACTCGATATTACCACGTCTGCACAAATTGGTTAGTCGTATAAATATTGAATAAAGTCCAATAATAATAAAAACAAAAATAAGAGGTGGCATCTTATGGTCAAAAATTAGGGTGCAACAGATGCCCCTATTTAAGTTACTCCTATTCGGAGATATGGGGATCGAAATCTCCGTCTCGACGAGATAGGAGGGACTTAAATACAAACATTGCACGAATTTCGGCCCTAGAGGCCACCGGATGCAAATGATATGCAATGATATGAGAATGTAAGACAGCGAATCCTGTGGTGAAATGACGCCACATGGAGAAACGACACACGGGGAGAAAAACAGGCTTGACAAAAGAAGATTCCACGGGAATAGGAAACGACTGCCAGAGAGAAATCTCTGAAAGTACAACAGCAACTCGAACACCCAGGATATGGTGACTTAGACGATAGGCGAGAAGCTTATTATCATAATGTAGTGGTTGGTGATGACCCAAATGAATTGAGTCAACAGTTCAGTTTCATTTTGGCATTTTTCTTTCTTTTCTCGTTTTTGTGTATACCTTTCTTTTTGGAACTCAACTTGAAATAGTAAAATGTATAACTTCCCCGAGCGTCATGATAAGGGTACCATGAGCTGGTCTCAGTTTTTTGCAGATGGTAGAATCACTGTAGTTTGTAGGTGTAGATGTAAATGTCGTTGTAGATGTTGTAGTTGTGGAACTTCCCCTAGCATCATGGTATGGGAACCATGAGCTGGTCTCAGTTTCTGATGTAGAGCTTCCCCGAGCATCATGATATGGGAATCATGAGCTGGTCTCGGTCTCTGATGTAGAACTTCCCCGAGCATCATGATATGGGAATCATGAGCTGGTCTCGGTCCCTTCCCGAAATGATGAAAACTCGTGAGAGCACCTTCATAGGGGGTTGTAGTTTTGTAGATTGTAGATGTCGTTGTAGACTGTAGATGTAGTTCGTTGTAAAACCTTGTAGATGTAGTTCGTTGTAGAACCCTGTAGATGTAGTTCGTTGTAGAACCCTGTAGATGTAGTTCGTTGTAGAACCCTGTAGATGTAGTTCGTTGTAGAACCCTGTAGGTGCAGTTCGTTGTAGAACCCTGTAGGTGCAGTTCGTTGTAGAACCCTGTAGGTGCAGTTCGTTGTAGAACCCTGTAAATGTAGTTCGTTGTAGAACCCTATAGATGTAGTTCATTGTAGAACCCTGTAGATGTAGTTCATTGTAGAACCCTGTAGATGATAAATGTTGTTGATGTAGTCTGTAATGTACTCTGTTGTAAATGTGATTGTAAATGTAGATGTAGCTTCACCGGGGATCTTCGGAAGAGATGTGAGCCGGTTGAATTGTAACGTATGTCTTCTCAAGTACGGAGACTATTGTGGTAAACTTCTTTGACTTCTCTGGGGAGATGCCACTTGACGGAAGTAAACTTGTGTGATGAACTTATTGGGGAAGTTATTCCTGAGAGAAATGTCTGTAACTGTCTAATGCTGAAGGATCCACTGATGGTAAATGATCTGTCTTGTGAAAATTGTCCGTCGTTTTGAATAAGATCCTGATCAAAATGAGTTGCTCAAATAAAGAGATAGATGTAGATGCTTGAGAAAAATTTATTGAAGAAATGTCTGCCTTTAGGAATATTCTTCTTGGGGAAAAGGATGCAAAATAAATGCACACTTAATCCATTCTTAAAGGCTGGAGATGTCCATGATGTGATTGCCAAAGACCGAAGTTCAATTCGGGAAGTAGCCGAAAAGAAACTGTCAAGCAAGACTCGACCATTGAGGTGTGAACTCAAATGGAATTGTACTAAAATAACCGTCTTCCACGAGGGTTGAACTTCATGGGGAAAATGAAACATTATGCTCTTTCTGCCTAGGGTTGATAACTCTAATTGGAGGGACAAGACACACCCATACACCTAGGGATAACT